TTAAGTATTTTTGTTTTAAAGTGAAAAGTTCGGAAAATGACTTACGGAAAATGAATCTGTAAGTCATTTTACAGAAAACACAAAGGAAATTCTGTTACTAGGAAAATGAATTACATTCCGGAAAACGAATTACGTGAAACAAACACAGGAAAACATTTTTCAGAAAACGAATTACGTGAAACAAACACGGGAAAACATTTTCCGAAAAACGAATTACATGAAACAAACACGAAATTTCAGGAAAAACTAATTCCGTAATTAGTTTTACGGCAAACAAACACACCCTAAGATTTATCTGGTGTATACGATGGGAGAAGAGACAAAATAAGTTCCTTGTGAGTAGAAAGCAGTTTTGGTTCGAGAAGGAAAAATGGATGGTCCTCAAAGAACTTCCCCCGATAACTGTGTCAAATTTAATGTACAGTCCCACCAATCATTGGGTAGGGGACCAAGGTTTACATATTTCCACTCCCAGATAAAACATCTGGCTTGGTTTGGCTGGTATATATATTACATCTCCATAACTCTTATTGGTTCACTGAAATAATGGCCCCATGCTATTGATCATCACAAGAGTTTTATAATCTTTAAACACAGTCCACTAGAAATGCACCATTTCAACTCTAAAAAAGCTCCCTCTTTCTGGCCATTTACAGAAGCTGACAATATCAGATTGCCAACTGTTGTGAAAGGGATATTATTAATATAATGTCCTCTTTCAGGTCCGTAGGAACCATCAATATTGCACCATATTTAGCCGTGGATCAGTTGAGAGCTCAAGGCTTTGGTTTAGCTGAATGTAGGAAAAGTTTGGTATGTGAAATAATAATAAGGAAAACTGATGGTCCATGGATTGGCCGACGTTTTTTAACATTAATCATTATCACATCAATGATCGACTTCCATTACTGTAGCTGCAGTTGTGATAATGGGCCACTAGGAATTGATTCAACTTTGACAGGATATTAGAGTGGTGAGCTAAGTCTCTCGGTACAGGTAAATTTGAAGGCGTTATCTATTTCAACTCATTGAAAGCCGGCCAGCCCCGAAGCAGAGTGAACTATCTAAAAAGCCCAGGGCAGGAGCTCTTACGACTCAAACAGGTTGCTTGCTTCCTATATCGAAAGCCGAAGGCCTTCGTCAACATGTTACGAGGCTCCAGTCTTCGGCGGGTCACCATTACTTGACTTAGAAAGGCGAACATCTGGGCAAGGGAAAGCGCAGTGCGCCTGGTGCAAATGGCTCTCTTCTTTTTTCATGATATACCAATCAGAATGGAGGGCCCTACCTTTCTGTGAGGGGTCGTAGGCCAGTCTTTCAATAATTTCCGAGGGCAATAAAAATAGTTCTTTATAGGTTCACGAACACGACCCGACAATCGATTTCCTACAACCAAAACAGACAAAACAGACGTATACGGAAGAGTCATAACATAAAAAAAGTTTTTTGTCCACAAAAATTATGTTTTATGCGTCTGTGATCTTACAATTTTATTAAATTGTACAAATATTCTTATCTTTATTTATTGTAAAATAAATATAGAGAGGAGAGTTGGAGAGGTTTACATATTGGTTTTAGTGCTGGCATCAAGTATATAGGGTGTATATTTAAAGACTTACAGGTAAGATTTTCCGTGATCATGTCAAAAACTTACAACTTATAGGAGGATATAGAATTACAGAGGCTTCGAGGAACTCTAAAGGTTTAATGAATGAAGAAATTCATTCAAAAATCTCAATTGATAGAAAATTAACAACAGAGGTATTACTCATGAAGGAGGTCCGAGAAAGCATAACACCATCAAATTTTTTTTCTTAATTCTTTTCAACGTTCGGGTTTGATGCTAAAACTTGTAAAAGAACTCGGGATTCATTTTCTTCAATTGATTCACTGTCTTCACCTTTCGACTCCATAGCATCAGGTTTAGTTTTCTTCGTTTTCTCTTTAGTGGAATCCATTGTTTCAATTGGAATCGAACTATTGAGTTCAGAAAACTGATCATTTTGAATCCTGAAACCGTGAAGAACATAAAAACAATTATTTAAGGACAAACTATTATTTCCATTTGAGAGAAAACAATGGAATTCAAAACTGATTTACCCTGAAAAAGCTTTTCTGAAGAACTTAAACAGAGAAAAATAAGGCAGAGGTGAAAACCAAGAAAAGAAAAGCAAAGAAGAAATCAATTTAATTGATACTTGATAGCATCTTAATTAACAATATTCTTTTTTACCACTTATTCGAATATACACATATAAACCTGTTTAAATTCAACCAAAAGATAGAGAATTGTTTTGATACTTCGGACAAATTCTAGACATAAACTTTTGATCATAAGAAAAGTTTTGAGGACAAAAATGAACAATAGATTAAGGAAGTCGAGAACCCTGTACTTGGTGGAAACTTTAATTTATGATCCATATGAAAAACCAGGCTGTGCTTGATTTGACTCAATATCGTACACTTGACGTAGCCATCCATTAACAGATCGAAAATGCATTAGAAAAAGATGCCCATACAATTGGTAGACTGCAAGACTCTGATGCTCACATTTTTGCTTAAAAATAACCCAACAGCTGGATCAGAGTTTTCAAACCTAATCCAAATTCCCCTCTTTAACTGTCCCCACAAATCCGAATCATGGAGATATTGCCTTCATTTTCATGCTGATTTCCACCTCCTGTTCGCTCTTATCATCCACCATATAAAGCTGCTTTCTCATGCTTTATATGGTGCATGGTCCTACTCATCTCTCCCCTGGACTTGTTACTAATTCTTCCCCATAGGATAAAGTTAGATATTTAATTATAATCGGGAATCATTTCCAATTCTGGTGTCCACCTTAAATTATTTACTAGGTTTAAATTTTAGATTTAATTTAAGATAATTTATTCATTAGTCTATCCACAATGATTATTATGTTAATGTAAATTTTATTTACATATTGAATTATAATGTTTATATAATTTGATTGAACTGAAACTTATCCTATTTTGTTACTTATGATTATTGAATTATGGTTTAGTAACCTAACTTATTATTGAATCTCATTCATGTAATTAACCTAATGTAAATGTTATTATCGTTATTTTATGATTGTAATTATTTTGTTATAAAATCAAATAGATTATCGTATTTTAAATCTAATGTAAATAACCTAATCAAATTATAATAGGTTGCAGGTTAAACTGTAATCGAACTGTTAATAACAGTTATTCGTTAATGATTAAATGTTTCTTATCGATTAAGATACATACCATAAAATTTAATAATTACATATGATTAATTAAACCATTTAAATTAAATGTTACAACAAATCTACTCCCACCCCCTTCCCCAAAAAATACTAACCGAGAAAATTAAACCCTATTTGGATGCAAGCATTTCTTGTGCTCGTGACTTGCTAGATGCGTGAAGAGATATTATTATATTAAAGCAAATCCAAGAACCATGGGTTTTTTAGTAAATATAAAAGAAAATTCCAAAAATTAATTACATTACATGCATTAGTTGCGGTGAGGAGTTTATGCCGAAAGTGTAAATGAAATATTTGTGCCCATAAATTATTATAGTTAGTTCAAATGAATATATATGATCTGATATTTTTTAAATCAAAATTTAATTTAAGTAATTAGAGTTATTAAATGTGTTGAATTTGAGAAGTAAGTTATTACTTGATATATAAATGTTGCAAAAATTTAGTTTGTAAAATATTTCTATCTAAATTTTAAAACATTATTATCTAAAATTTTATATTTTAAACTCTAAATTTTAAATCTTTTAAGTTCTAAACCTTAAATAGGACATCTAAACCTTGAAATAAACAGACGTGTATAAAGTCGTGTATCAGGTAATTTTTTTTTTAAATATTTTAATGTATGACTTGAATGTCATGTGAATATAATATTTCTTTTAATTAGTGTTGAAAAATCTTAAATCAAACTAAGAACAACATAAAGTAATAACTGGTTTGAAATCTTATTCATGATCTTTTTAAACAAATATAATTTTGTTTTTTATCATTACAAACATAAAATGCACCTCTTAATCATTTAAAAGAGATAATAATTGATTCTAGTAAAAACAAGCAAATATTAAATCAAAATTAGAAACTTGTTTATTTAATAAAAATATAATTTTTAAATATACCTCAAATAATGGTTGTGTTCTTAATCTCACTCAAAGCCTTCAATAATTAGGGTCTATCAAAATAGCATATCCCCCCACTAGCATTACAATATAACACCACCCATCCACTCCGAGAATATTTTGAATACATGTGCAGGCCATGCCATGCATACATCACCACCATCCACCCTCTTCAACACTTTCATTATTTATTTAAAATACCCTTGACGCAATATTGCTTTATTTCAACATCTTTTCATAACTTTAAAATAATCATAGTAGGAACGAAAATAAATAAGTAATTAAACGAAGGGCCACCGATAGTTCTTATTTACTCAATTCATATAGGAATTTCACAAATTATATTTAATCTATATTGTAAAAATACATATAAGATATTAGTAAATAAATATTTTTCTTAAAACAGATATTAGTCTAATTCAAAAAATATATTATTGATTTTTCCAAAAAAGATAAAAATTTTATTTTAATGACGTTAACCAAGATCGACATCCTTTTATTAAAATTAAAAAAGAAAGAAAGAAAGAAGTACAAAGTTGGAGCGACGACCATCCGCGGAAACAAGGAGCCGCTCGCGCCTGCGGCTTTGGAATCTAATCTTCGTCACGCCATTTCCATTTCCTCTATCCCATCAAACAGTTCATGGCACTTCCCCCTATAAACGCACCAATAGATGAACATTTGAAACAGTAAAATAAAATTTATTAGGATGATGTTGCATATTCAATAAGTACGGATAAATATCGTTAATGATGAATATTATTAAATTAGTTTATAAAATGTTAAATCATAAATTATTAAATATTATAAAATTATATGAATATAATACATTAACCGGAACAAAACCACTGCCAAACTAACCTGACCCTAACCCTTGGGTTTGATTTCAACCCATTTTCGTCCCTTTAAAACCCTCCAAAATGGCTCCCTTCCAACCCTTAATTTCCCTTGTCTCTCTCTTCCCTTACCTTTGCCAGTTCCATTTCCTCATTTTAATTTTTCTCACTTGTTTTCTTGTAAACCAACGATCAGCCAGTCGACCTTGGGAAGCTTAGGAAATATTGGGGTTCAACTTTTTTGCGAGGAGGAGGAGGAAAGAGTAGTAATTGCTGCTGTTATTGAGCCATGAGTTGCAACGGATGCCGAGTCTTACGAAAAGGATGCAGCGAGTCATGTATTTTACGTCCATGTCTGCAATGGATCGACAGTCCCGAAGCGCAAGGCCATGCGACCGCTTTCGTTTCCAAGTTCTTTGGTCGTGCCGGGCTCAAGTCGTTCATCTCCGCCGTTCCAGAATCTCAACGTCCTGGTATCGGCGCTCAACTTCCCCTTCATGATGTTTTATTTCTGGATTTTCATTTGATTGCGAATTCTCATTGGTTTCTTATATATATATCAGCTTTATTCCAATCACTTTTGTTCGAAGCTTGTGGGAGAACGGTGAATCCTGTGAACGGAGCCGTCGGTCTTTTATGGACAGGGAACTGGCGTGTTTGCCAAGCGGCAGTGGAAACCGTCTTACGAGGAGGAACTCTAAGGGCGATGCCTGAACTTATGGCTCCCACACCATCCGATGAAACATCGGAAGCTACAATTATCTACACGTTGAAGTTGCAAGAAACATCGATGAATCTTAACTCGAACTGTCGGTTTTCCTGTTCGAGATCTAAGGTTTCACCTAAGCGTATCAGAGTCGAAGAATTCAGTAAATTTCATTCGTCTGATCTAGATCTTCGCCTGACTCCAAGATCCACGGGCAATGGGCTCTCCCATAAAAGACGACCCGGGAATCCGTCGTTGAACTCGGAGGAATCTGTTACGACTACATGTTTTGAAAGTGGTTTTGCAGCTCAAACCGGAGAAGCAGATAAAAAGTTATTAAACTTGTTTGTCTGAAGAGAAAATAAAAAGTTTTCTTTTATTGGTGAATCTAACATTGAAACTTGAAAGGACCTTGTTTGCTGCAATATTCTCCTGTTCTACCACATCTTTTTTGGGGTTTAGATATTTTCTTTTTGTAATTCTGGGGAGTAGTTTTACCCGGAGTTGAATTTTCCGGCGAGTTTTTTTTTTGGGGGGGGGGGGGGGAGTAAGTGACCGGCACTGGATTTCTCTCTTTTGTTTTTTGCTTTACAGTGTTGAAACTGTTAAAATGGAGAGAAAACTGAGAGTTGGTCGGTGATTCTTAAAATCAACCCTTTTTGTTTCTACTTTGTTATATTTTCATCTTCTTCGTGATTAGTGATGAATGTACGACATTAATAAATAAAAAGTTATTACAAGTTTCCCATATAGATAATAGTTTTTATTACCTTATATCTAAAATAATTTTCGGATCAATAAAATGTCTAAATATTACAGTTCCTACCGTCGAATATATTTTATTTGATCACTGTTGACATGAGATTATAAACCGTAGAAAAACCAACATTTATGCCTTCACATCATTTATGTTATCTGAAATTTTCTCTCATATTTATATAGAATAACTTTAGTTGATATCAGATGATTTTTTTATTTTGACACAATAAAGAATATGATACCCTAAGCTTAAACGTAAACTATCTTCCATCCAACCCTAATCTATTTTTAAACCATGAACTATTGAACAATTAATTTGACCAAGAACATCTTTTAGTTAGAGTGTTCCGTAGGATACAAAAGTGTCTAATCAATCGTATTTTTATTAAATATTGTTGATCAGAGAAATCTAAAATAAATTATATTTATATAAATATTTTAAATATTATTTCATTATTACTTTATAAAAGTATTATTTTTGAAAAACTGTCATCTTTTAATTTCATAAAACATTTTTAATATAAAATGAACAAGAAAATAAAAAGTTACTAATGAAATCGTACCATCAAAGAATAATAACTACGTGGCGATAAGTGTAAGCCTCTATTTTCAATTAAAAAAAAGCAGAAGACTGTTTCAGCGGAACCAACAAGAGTGTAGAGTAGAGCGCAAGTGGGGTGCACCAAAATGGTACCTTTGAAACTCATCCCCACAAAAACCAATGTTCTTCCACGGTCATTGCATCGTGTCCCCCACTATCCAGTACCAGCGCGTCATCCTCCAAATTACAATTAAACCCCCCTGCAGATTGCGTCATTGAGATCGTCATACTTATCCACAACAAAAATTAGCATTAAGAAGAAAAAACCAGAGAGAAATGAATTGGGATGGAATTTCCAAGGAAAGAGGACCTTTCCGGCGGTTGCAGCAGGCGGCATTTGGAGTGCGCAAAGAGGCGTAAGAATGTACTTATTGGCAGGGGCGAATAGAAACCTTGGATTCTCATGAATCACAACATGACATGTTCGGAATCCATGTATATACACGCAGTTAACTAACTCAGACAACCAGACAAATGTTCCTTTTTTTTAAAAAAAAATTATATCATTTAAATCCACTGAAATTATTTCTATGTTTGTTTGTGAAGTGTAGATTAGACCTAGAAGGCTTGGTTCATATGGATGATAAAACCTTTTGATAAATCTCCGTCGTTTACCTTTGTTTTCCCTTTTTATTTTCAATCGTTTTACATATATTTTTCATGTGTTTCGTAATAAAGCTGTCTATAGTTGGAATTTCAAAATAATTAAATGCTTATTTGTTCAAGATCGTGGTCGTAAAATCAAACTGAATTCACTAATTGAACCAGTTAAATTAAAAATAAATTTATTGTATAATTGAATCATTTAAATCAAGTAAAAAATCAGAGAATTGATGAAAAATACGAACCTGGAAATATTTTTAAAATGGTTACCTTTAATTTGAGGTTTTCCATCATGTTTGGACTCATTTTAATCCTTATTTAATATATATATATATATATATATTATTTATTACTTTTAAAAAAACTAAATAGTAAATAGTAACAATTTTCTCCTATAGGCTGTCATTATCGGAGAAAATTAGTTAACTAAAAAAACTTTAAAAAATAAATAGAATAAATAAATTATTTTGATAATCATATGATGATGGCTTCATTATCTAATATCTTCCATTAAAGACTGATTAGTTTTGATTTTCGATGAACAACTAACTGCAAACGCCTACATGATCCGACACGCCCAACTAAAAACCAAGCTAACTAGCACTAGTTCAGATTTTAAACTCGTTTCAAATCTCGCACGTGTTACATTGACCTTCATGACTCCAAAAGAAGGCTAAAAAGAACTTGATTGCTTCATGCCCTAAATCTCTTTTCTTTCTACTTTCTCATCCACTGATTAATTTTTCCCTGTAATTCAAAACAACTGAATTCAGTCTCATAGTTCGTTATTTCAGGTGGGTTTTACCTTCTTTCTATTTTTGGGCTTTCTTTCAGTGTTTCACTGTCTGGGTTTTTTGTTGTTGTTTTGTTTTGGGGTTTTACGAGTAAAGCTGTATTTTTTAGTGTATGGAATTTGCTCGTGTTTTCTTTAAGGTGCTTTGACTTGAGATTGGAAGGCTTTAAGTTTGTAGCTTTGTGGGTCTGGATTTCTGTTTGAGTTTTGGTTTTTGATTGATTGATTAGTTAAATGAAGTTAATTTACTGTTTACTCTACTTTTTTATTATATGGGTTTTGTTAATTTTGCTTGAATTTTAGTACTTTTGGAATTGGACGATTTCAGGAAAAACTGTTTTTGATCACCATTTGACTATGTTAATAGATGACATGACATTAGGGTTTTTGATATTTTTTTTGGTTGAGAATTAAGTTGATTTTTCATGGATATTGATGGTTTTCCATTCTTTGGGTGAAGTTTTAGACTTTGGTTGATAGTGATGAACTCGGAAACCCAAATGCCTGCCAGTCATAAAATTTGTAGAGTAGATACTTTAGAGCTGAAATCCCAGATTGTAAGGAAGATCGGGCGCATAAAAGCCGAGAAGTACTTCAATCTGCTCACAAGATTTTTGAGCCTTAAGATTTGCAAACCTGAGTTTGATAAGCTTTGCATCGGTACAATTGGGAGAGAAAATGTCCGTCTTCATAATAATCTCCTCAGATCAATTATTAGAAATGCTTCAGTTTCAAAGACTCCTCCACCGATAGCGAACAATTTGGAAGGTTCTTTAAGTGTTAAAGTGTTAAATGGGTATCAAAGAAGTAATCTTCAGTCACTGTGCAAAGACTTTCCTCAATCCTCTCGTAAGAGTAGGACTCCAAATCTTCACGATCGCAAGTTAAGGGACCGCCCAAGACCTTTAGGGCCTCATGGGAAGAGCCATAACACTGCTTGCGAAGATGCAGTTCGTAAAGTACAAGAACAACAGAGTGCTACCGAGTTGCTTTCTTTGGGTAGCAGACCGCCGGGATCCGTTGAGGATGGAGAAGAAGTCGATCAAGCTACGGGAAGTCCAAGCATTTACAGTAGGATTCCTGTGAGTGCTCCGCTTGGCATCACTTTGAATGCTAAAGGAATGCGTAAGGTACCATGGAATGGATCGGCATCTGATACCGAGACTTGTTATTTTCGGGGTGAACTACCTGATACTGGTTCTTTGAGGGAAAGGTTGGAAAAGAAGTTGGAGATGGAAGGATTGAATATCTCAGTAGATTGTCCAGATTTGTTGAACAATAGCCTTGATGTTTACATGAAGAGATTGATAAAACCTTGTTTGGAACTGGCTGGTACGAGGTCCAGGCAAAAACTTATTGACCGGGGCCAGAATCTGTCCATGGACTATTTGGATGGGATGCAGCCTATGAGGTATGCACCGAATCAAAGAGGCCCTGTTTCTGCATCAATGTTAGACTTTCAAGTTGCGATGGAGATGAATCCCCTGATTCTCGGAGTAGACTGGCCAACACAACTCGAGAAGGTGTGCCTGCTTGCTTCAGAAGAGTGAGAACCAAAACTAATTGGCTTCATGATTCGAGTTAAACTGGATTCCAGCCAGAGCAATTTTGAGTTATTTCGATTTTGACGTTCACACTAACATTGGTCTCGAGCATATCATTTTTATATAATAAATGAAGTAAACAAGTAAAAAGGTTACTAGAGTTTCGGATAAAGCTGCTTATATTGTAAATATGTCATGGCTTTGAATTATCCTGGAGGAGTGATGTCTCAACTAGGTGAAATCCAATGATATTGACACTTACACTAGCAACTATTTCCACCTGATATCTATAGCTTTGTTCCAGGTAACACCTGTTTTCATAATAATAGAGCATATCTTCGGTTTTTCTGGCCTGGCCCGCTGTTGTTGAATTTGTCCTGTGAAAGCTACTTGTTCCTTTCATGGATCTTATTGGCCAGGTAACGATATCTCATGTTCGTTGTTTAGTTTGTTATGCATCGCTTGGATATTAAATCTAATGCTTCTAAGCTCTTAATCGATCCTGTGCCAGTTCTTGATTTGGATGACGATTCTGCTGAAATACGGAGATGATTGAAACTGTACCGATACTTGATCGTTTCCGAGTAGTTAGTTTCTTGCGGAATCTGAATTGGATCAGATATAGAGAAATATGGAACCTATTATTGCAGTGATATGGAAGATCATAGTGCAACTAATGTTTGATTGATTTGTTCAGTTGAATTTGTTACTTTTTTTTCCTTGTAATGTTAGGCATGTTCTTGTTTGGATCATAAACATGGACATGCTAGAAAATGAATTCTCGGCCCTAGCAAATGAAAATATTTGTCTGATGGATCATACGTACTCTCATGTATCTGACTTTCAGTTTTTTCTCAACCATAAAATCATTTCCAAATATCCATTTTCTGGTGAATGATTTCAGATAACTGTCTCATTTGGTACCATCTTATCCTTTAGCAAAAGAATATTAATTGATGATTCAATCAAGAAAAAATTGCAATTATAAAACATACTAGAAATTACAATATAATCAATCAGAGTTTCAGAGAAGTAGCTTTTAGACTGGCAAAAACCTCCATGATATCACCTATGATCACCATGAATGATGTGGTATCAAACATAAAGATGACACTATTTACAGAAATATCATACAAAAGAAGCAGATATGGAAAAAGAGGTGGGGGGGGGAGGTCCAAGAATCATGGTGCCCCTAGAAGAAGAAAAAGAGAGAGAAGTAGATGAGAGCTACAAGTTGGTTCAAGCCTTGTAATTAACACAGACATTAAACACTTCAGAAAATGGTAATGATAATTTAGGCAAAGCAACATGTGGTGTCAAGATATGGAGTGCCTCCTATCCTTGGCTGGTCTTGTTCGACCTTTGCCATCGGGACCTGAAACTCTGTCTGCCCGGATGAAGGGATAAAGCCGTCCTAGTTTTTTGGAAACTGAATTCATGAATGATTTTCTAGGCAAAGGAGGCTTATCAGATGATGGCGTTAAATTTCCCATTGGATTGCTTACTGCTGATTTTGCTGATGTTGATTTCTCTATTTCTTTCAATCTCATTTTCATTTTCACTAGCTCTAGTTTCAAGTCCTCATTCTCTCTTTTCAAGCTTGAAAGTTCACCTGAAGCTGGGTGGATGTCAGTAGGGTATAAATTCACCCTGGAAGAAATGACACCAGGGGAATCTCCACTCGAGACACTTCCATTCATGACATCTCGAAGGCGTTGCTGCTCGTAGTAAAGGACTTGAACCACGGCTTGGACTGGAAGCCGGTCGTTTTGAGCTGCGTGAGCACAGGCCTCCCGTGAGAGTTTCTGGCAATCCATTAAGCTGCAAACTTTCTTCCTCTCCAAGTCAGTTATAGTGGGATGAGCCTATTAATTGTAATCAGAAGGCGAATTAAAATGAAATCATTGTGGAATATAACTTGTTTATCAAAAAGATCATAAAAGAGATGTTATATATCTACGGCTCTGTACATCCCATCCTCTGGTACCCTCGATTGTTCAGGAATCAGTTCAGCGAGACCGATGAATTTCGATACAGATAGATTACGGTCGGATGCTAGTTCGACTAGGTAGCTCTCCATTAGCTTTCCCACTCTTTCCAAGTCACTTGGTGGAGGAGAAATGTACTCATCTTCTTCTTTGTAACCAAAATGGCTGCCTTCAGTATCATATTCAATGTAGTTCGTCAAGATTTGCTGCACAGTGTCGACATCGAACAATGTATCCCCAGTAAAAGAATAAGCAGGAATCAAAAGATCATCTAAAACAGCCTGTCCTAATTGCAAGGCCATCCTTTTCTCCAAATCGAGTCGACAAGCAACAGTTGTTTCGAGGTATAATGCTGCACGAAGCAACAAGGATAGAAAGCTTACGGACAATGCATTTTTCTCTCTAGGCAGAAGACTCACTATGGTTTCCAACACAACCCTTTTATCGTGTTCTTGTCGTGGCTCGATTTTCTTCCTCCCCTTTCCGTATACCTCCTGCAAAAAAAAGGAGTCTGCACTGCACTTTTAGACATCAAGCATATATCCGGTAAACAAGTCTATTATGTTGGTTTGGGGTCTCACCAAACCTCTAAGAGCTTTTTGTGCATAAAGCATAAGCACTGGACCAAGATCATACTGTTTAAAACCTCTTGCCATCATTGCAATCAGAACCCGTTGGAAGATGTCGATTCGAAGAACGGTCAAATCTTCAGCCCACCAATCAACAATAGGTTTCGAGCTAGCGAATGTCGAAGAAATGGCACTATCATTGCCACTATCAGACCTGCTAGACATGCAAAACTGGCTCTCTTTGCAAGCTAAAAACGCAACTGCATCTATGCACCGGCTCACCAATTTAACCTCCTCTGCAATTGGCAGGAGGATTTGAGACATGTAAGACAGAAACAGCTCCAGATAGGCTATTAAGTACCACTTCATTCAAGTAGGCTTCAGTTCTTCCCACAAGGTTTCCAACTGCATAGTCCTTGGTCATCTCGAGATACTCAGCGGCACATCTTAGCATCACAATGTTTTCGGTGCTTATCTCGAAATTTATCCCATAACAGAATTTAGCTATGAGTTCAAACGCATCTGCTCCGCCTGGAACATTGGGGATTTCTATGACCGAAAGATCAGCATCATTGGATTCTGATACAACTTTCCTTATGTAGCCACTCTTAGAGACCAATGGAAACTGGAAATCAAGTAGAAAATAAGCTCAAAAAGTGCACAATTCTGCCATAAATTCAACAAAATCTTGATGCTAACTTGGTTTGCTTGTCATCCTAATGAATGGGAAATGGAATCATATGTTTCCCAAAATCAAAAGTATTTGATTTCTACCTTATGCAGTGAAAAAGAAACTCCTCCAACTTGAACTGTGACATCACTGGGGATCTCCTGTGAGAAAATCCTGGGAAAAGGGGGTCAAGTTATTAATTTAAGCAGCCAACTCATACAAATTGATACCTGTTAATGAAAAAAAGGGGATTGTTAGGTATGGCTCATAAATATACCAGTAAAGAGGACAGGAGATGGAGCGGAGTGAGCGAACGCAGCGAACATCAACTGTCCTTACAAAGAAAGTCTCGTTGTGGGGTTACAAATTATGTGGGTTGGGGGGGTGCGGGGGCTATGCCCCCGCGGTACGGTACAGGGTTGATTTTGTAATTATGTACCAGGGTTTTCTATTATAAATAGAGATGTAACCTAGACCTAAAAAATTATTGAATAAAACTTCTAGCGCCGCCTAGGCACCGAAGACGTAAGCACATTGCCAAACCTCGTAAAATTCTCGTGTTCTTTCGTTTTCTTTACCCGTTTTCGTCAACAATTGGTATCAGATGTCAGGAGCAAAATTCGAAGTCGCGAAATTCGATGGTCAGGGTAACTTCGGATTATGGCAAACGAGGGTGAAGGATCTATTGGCGCAGCAAGGGATCTTGAAGGCTTTGCGACCTACAAAGCCGGCGTCGATGGATGAGGAAGATTGGGAAGAATTGCAGCAGCGAGCGGCAGGAACCATACGATTATGCTTGGCGGACGAGGTCATGTATCACGTCATGCATCTATCGTCTCCAGACGAAATTTGGAGGAAGTTGGAAAGTCAGTTTATGTCCAAATCCTTAACGACAAAACTGTATCTAAAGCAACGGTTGTATGGGCTGAAGATGCAGGACGATCACGATTTGGCGTAACACGTGAATGTCTTCAATCAAATCGTTTCTGATCTGGCTCGGCTTGATGTGAAAATTGAGGATGAAGACAGAGCGATGATTCTGTTGTGTTCGTTGCCTTCCTCTTACGAACACATGGTGACTACTCTTACATATGGGAAAGAGACTATCAACGTTGAGGAGATTACTGCAGCCTTGTTGGCTCACAACCAGCGGAAGCAGAATGCAGGGGAAAGCTCTCAAGCCGATAGCTTATATGTCAAGGGTAATCGAGATCGTGGACGGAAGCCAGAGAAGGTAGGGTCCGGGAAGCGGAATTCCAGATCCAAATCCAGGGATAAGAAGACGATTCACTGTTACAAGTGCAAGGAGGCGGGACATATGAAGCGAGACTGTCCGAAGTTGAAAAAGCAGACTGATGAGAAGCGTGATGGCTCATCCAAGTCTGTGAACGTAGTCGAGGATGATACTTCTGATTGCAGTGAGGGTGATATGCTTTCTATTTCAACGACACAATTGACGGATGCTTGGATTCTTGATTCTGGATGTTCTTATCACATCACGCCAAATAGGGAATGGTTTTCGACATACAGGCCGGTTAATTCTGGTTCGGTTTATTTGGGTGATGATCGATGTTGCAATATTGTTGGTATTGGTGATGTCAGAATGAAGATGCACGATGGCTCCGTTCGGACGTTGAGTGGTGTTCGACATATCCCAGACTTGAAGAAGAATTTGATTTCCTTGGGCACTTTGCACAAGAATGGTTTTATCCCTAAGGCTGACGAGGATAGGGAAACCATTCGGATTGTTAAAGGAGCATTGACTGTGATGAAAGGCAAGATGACTGCAGGGAATATCTACAGATTGTTAGGGAGTACCGTTGCAGGTGGAGTTCACTCTGTTGAGTCCTGTGATGATACGACAAAATTGTGGCATATGCGCCTTGCTCATCTTAGTGAACGTGGTATGGCAGAATTACACAAGAGAATCTTGTTGCATGGTGTCAAAAGTTGTAAGCTCGATTTTTGCAAGTATTGTGTTCTTGGTAAACAGACTAAAGTCCGTTTCAAGACTGCGAAGCACACAACTCAAGGGATTCTTGATTATGTGCATTCTGATGTATGGGGGCCTTCCACGACATCGTCTTTGGGTGGATCTAGGTACTATGTTACTTTTATTGATGATTTTTCACGGAAAGTTTGGGTGTATTTTTTGAAACAGAAATCTGAAGTTTTTGAGAAGTGAAAGCTGAGGTAGAAAACCAAACAGGACGAAAAATCAAGTGTTTGCGGTCTGACAATGGTACGGAGTACACAGATTCACAGTTCCTACAATTCTGTAAGGAGCATGGGATTCAGAGGCATTTTACAGTGCGCAAGACACCACAACAGAATGGTGTTGCGGAACGAATGAACAGGTCGTTGAATGAAAGAGCCAGATGTTTGCGGTTGAATGCGGGGCTTCCCAAACACTTCTGGGCTGAGGCTGTTAACATGGCGTGTTACCTTATCAACAGATCGCCAAGGGCATCGCTGGCTGGGAAAGTTGCAGAAGAGGTATGGACTGGTCATGATGTTAGTTTTGATAACTTACGGATTTTTGGTTGTCCTGCT